GGTGAATGAGCAGTGCACATCATTCATTCTTATTGAGTACCTGGTATTGTCATTATTAGGGGAAAGTTAAAAAGAGGCTTATCATCCAAGGAATAAAAACATACGCAGGGACTGGTGTTGGGTCCACTGTTATGTAAACAATTTGGATGAGAATTTAGGAGGCATGGTTAATAAGTTTGCGGATGACAGCAAAATTGGTGGTACAGTAGACGGTGAAGAAGGTTATGTAAGATTAAAGATGGACCTTGATCAATTGGGCCAATAGGCTGAGGAGTGGCAGTAGAGTTTAATTTAGATAAATGCCATTATTGCATTTTAGTAAGACAGGGTAGGACTTAAAACAGTTAATGGTGGGGCCCTAGGGAGTGTTGGCTGGCTAAAATGAATTGGTGGATTGCTCCAAAGGATTGGTCAGTAGTGATATCGTGACAGGCATCTCAGGGGTTATTTCAGAATATACAGAATAGGTACTTACTAATGAGTAAAAAAAATTCAAAGGCATGGATTAACTGTTTGTGGTTAACTTGAAATACCTTTTTTTCTTTATTCATTCATGGAATGAGGGCTTTGCTGGCCAGGCAGCATTTATTGCCCAGAGGGCAGTTAAGAGTCAACCACATTGCTGTGGGTCTGGACTCACATGTAGACCAGACCAGGTAAGGAAGGCAGTTTCCTTCCCTAAAGGGCATTAGTGAACCAGATGGGTTTTTCCCAACAATCAACAATGGATTCACAGTCATCATTAGATTCCAAATTCCAGATATTTATTGAATTCAAATTCCACCATGTGCCATGGCAAGATTTGAACTCAGGTCCCCAGAACATTACCTGGGTCTCTTGATTAACACTACAGCGATAATACCACTAGGCCACTGCCTCCCCTTGAGGATAGGCTAGACTTATGTTAAAAATAGTATCAAATTAAAAGAAAAGGCATGTAATTGTGTAAAGACAGGTATTAAGCCAAAAGATGGAATATTAAAAAAAGGCAAAGAATGAGCAACAAAAGAGTGAGGGAAAAGTGAGAGCGCACGAGGAATCTAGCCAGAAATACAAGAACAGATATTAAGAGTTTCTACAAATGTTTAGAAAACAAAGATTGACAAAATGAGCATTGGTCCATTAGAAAGTGGGACTGCAGTATTAATAATGGGGAAAAAAAAGGAAATGGCAGCTAAACTTTACATCAGTCTTCATTATTGAGGAAGTAACTCCAAGAAACAGCGGTAAGACAGGAAACGAAAGGGAGGGAGGGACTCGGGAAAATGACAATCACCAGAGAAGTGGTACTGGATAAATCATTGGAGTTGCCAGCTGACAAATGACTGGATCCTGATGGATTGTGTCATAATCTAGTGGCTAGTGAGATAATTGAAACATTGGTTTTAATGTTCAAAAACATTCTCAATTTGGGGATAGTCCCATTGGTTTGAAGGAAAGCCAATATAAATGTCTATTCAAACTGGGTGCGAAACAGAAAGCAGGAACCTACAGGCTTGACAGCTTAACATATTGGGGAAAATATGAAAAAGCATTATTAAAGAAGTTATAGCAGGGCCCTTAGATAAGTTCAAGGTAATCAGGCAGTGTCAATATGGTTTTATGAAATGGAAATTTTGTTTAGTAAATCTATAAGAGTTAGTTGAGGAGGCTACATGTGCTTTGGATACAGATAACTGTACTGTACTTAGACTTCCTGAAGGCATTTGATGAGGTGACACATTAAAGATTATTGTGGAAAATAAAAGTTCATGGTGTGGTGGTAGCATATTGGCATGGATAGAATATTGGCTAGTTAAGGGAAAACGTAGAACAGACTTAAATGTTCAGAGTGGCAAAATGTAATGAGTGATGTGGCACTGGAATCGATGTTGGTGCTGTGACTGTACAATTTCTATAAATCACTCGATGAAGTGAGCAAAGGTATAGTTACCAAATTTGCTGATGACACAAAGATAGGTGGGAAAGTAAGTAATGAAGAGGACATAAGGAGGCTACAAAAAGAAATAGACAGGTTAAGTGAGTGGACAACAATGTGCCATGTGGAGTATAAAGTGGGAAAATTAGAAATTCTGCTTTTTGACGGAAAGGAAACAGAAGAAACATACTATCTAAATGGTGAGACTTTGCAGAGTTCTGAGATGCCAGAGAGACCTGGATATTTTCACCTTTGAATTACAAATGGTGAATATACAGATATAGTAAATAATAGGAAAGTCGATGGAATGGTATCATTTTCATAATGGAAATTGAATACAGAAGTAGAAAATATATCCTTTATGTTTACAGGGCACTGATGACACCATCTGGTGTATTGTATTGATCACCTTATTAAAAGAAAGATGTATCTGCAGCGATGAAAGTTTGGATAGGCTAGACTGATGCCCACTGGAGTTTAGAAGAGTAAGAGGCAGTTTGATTGAAATGTATAAGATCCTGAGGGGTCTTGACAGGATAAATGTGGAGAGACTGTTTCCTCTTATGTGATAATCTAGAATAAGGTGTCACTGTTTGAAAGTCAGGAGTTGCTCATCTTAAACAAAGATTGGCCAAAAATCCGACCTCAGAGCTAGTCTTTTGAGCTGTCTTCCTGAAAAGGTGGTAGAAGCAGAGTTTTAGAATATTTTTAAAACGGAGGTATACAGATTCTTGTAAAGCAAAAGAGTAAAATGGTTCTCAGGATTGTGAAGGAACGTGGATTTGAGGTTACAATCAGATTAGTATTGATCTTATTACATGGCAAAGCGGATGTGAGAGGCTGGATGGTCCAGTGCTGCTGTTTGTATGTTTATATGTAACTCTTTCCTTGCACAAACAGCCAGTAACAGGACATACTCCACAGCATTGTCTTCTAAAAACAAATAGTAACTGAAATAGTCAACACAGTGTGGAGCTGGAGCATCAGAGGAACAGGAGAGTCAACATTTCGGCTCGGGACCCTTCATCAGGATATATGTTTTTAAATCAACCTGATTGGATACCTTATGAGTCTCCAGAGCATGACCAGGTAGTGAAGAAGATGTTTGGCACACTTACCTTCATTGGTCAGAGTATTGAGTACAGGAGTTGGGACATGTTATTACAGCTGTACAAAATACTGGTAAGGCCCCATTTGGAGTATTGTGTACAATTCTGGTTGCTTTGTGACAGGAAAGATGTTATTAAACTGGAAAGAGTGCCAAAATGATTTACAAGGATGTTACCGAGGCTGGAAGTTTGAGTTATAAGGAAAGGCTAGATAGACTGGGCCTTTTTTTCCCTGGAGCTTAGGATGCTGAGGGGTGACCTTGTAGGGGTTTATAAAGTCATGAGGGGTGCTCCAACCCTCACCCCCACTGTTGCATGACTGCTGCCCCCTCCACACTTCATGGCAGCTCTGATGAAGAGTCATCTGGACTCAAAACATTAGCTTGCTTTCTCACCATTGATGCTGCCTGACAGGTCAGGTAACATTTGTGAAAGAGAAAGAGAAATGTTTCTCTTTGAATATGACTTCTTCAAAATGATAAAAATTGAACGTCCAGAGTGAAGAAGAGACAGTTCAGGGAATTGGGAATTATTGAAATGCTGGAGGATGTCAGAATAATGGATGCAGGTGAGAAGAGACTGGAGAAGGGACCCCTCATTATTTTTGAATACCTCTACCAAATCTTTTCTCAACCTTCTGTTGTCCAATTTCACTTCATCTGCAAATTTCGAACTTGTGCCCTGTAAGCAAAGGTCTACATTATTAATATATAATAGGAGAGGCACTGTAAACCTTCCTCAAGTCAG